AGTTGTGACAGTTTTAAAAATCCCTTTTGGCATGGTAGTCGATTGTGTTTCTGCAGAGCATCTGTGTAACACACAATCTCATAAAATGCGCTGCAAGAAGTCAATCCAAAACTGAAAGGAAAAGGGATGGTTTAAGATGAGATTTTAAAAAAGGATTTGACTCAGTGGTTCAGAGGAAAGATGGGAAGATTGTTCCAGATAGATGGGGCAGCGCCAGGGAAGGAGTAGCCATCAACTGTGGAGAGTCAGAAGTGGAACAGGACAGAAACCAAGAGGAGGAGTGGAATGGGCTGCTGGGAAGTAGGTGGATTTGATATCAGGGAAGTAGGATTACGTTAGGCAGCTGTGACTGCTTCTTATTACACTAATCATAACCATCTCACTGTTACCTTGTGCTCCCACTACCTCTTAGATGTATCCACCTGTTATCTCTTATATGTAGATTGTAAAATCATGGCAGCAGCGACTGCTTTTTGTTATATGTGCGTCTAACAGTGCTTAAGTCCTAAAAACAGAAGTGTTGAAACACACTTCCGGTACTATCACTAATTGACAGGACTGGAACGCTGCTCCAGCTCTGAAAGTAAGTGCTTGAATGGTGTTCCTGAACGTGACATCAGGACTTGAGCCCTGGCCCGTGATGTGTAGTGCCTAGCATAATGGACCCTAGGCACCACCAGAATACAAAATCAATAATCATAAAGTCGGAGGGAGTGCATGTGTGGGGAGTTTTGAAGATGAAGACAATGTTGGAGAGGAATCCGTTGGAAAGACGAGAGATTGGGGATGAAATGGTTCCCCATCCTGCAGGGAGTGAGTAGACCAGCTTTGTCAGTCTTTACACCCTGAAATTTAGAGAGCAGGGCTTAAGGAAGCACTTTATGAATTACAAGAACTGAGATAGTAAGTCATTTGGGTACAAACCAGTATTCACAAGAGGCAAGATGATAGTAATCTGAATGATGGTAATGCAAGAAGAGGGTGACTAAGAAGAATTTATAAATTTGGGGCAGACTAATTCCTAGATATATAAACTCAGAAGGAAGTTAGGCATTAAACTGAGATTGATAGGGGATCAAGAAGACTTTTTTCCCCAGAAGAAGGACCTCAGCCTTTGTAGCATTCAATAGTAGGAAGTTACGGTGTAGCCAAGAGCTGACTCACAATGGGGAGATAGATGGGAGATAGAGGGATCAGTGAGTAAGCTGAGGGAGATACAAATGTGGGTGTCTCCTGTATAGAAGTGATATCCAAGACTGAAGATAGCAATAAAATGTCTCAAAGGTAGGAGATAGGTGGAGAAGAGAAGAGGTCCGAAGACAGAGCCTTGAGACACTCTGTAACAGAGGGACTGATGAGAAATTGTAAAGCCTCCTTCTAAAATGAGGAGTCAGAAAGATATATTCAAAGCAGGAGAAGAGTATGCTGGTGTGTCTGATTTTTTGCTTGAGGTGCTAAAGAAGGACAAAGTGGTTGACAGGATTGAAAGCCACTGAGAAGTTGAATAAAAAAAAAAGAAACGGGGATGAGTTTATCATTAAATGTTAAGAGAAACCAGCCAGGAAGAATTAGTCAAAACTCTGCTTTTGTGAGAACTAGGGTCAATTAAAAATTTATTTTGTTGGAATTGAGAAATTGCTTCCATCTACTTAAACTCAAAGTCTATGAACCAGGAAAACCCTTGTGTGTTACAGAATTTCTAAAACAACGACAACTTATTTCTCCAGTTCATGAAAGGTTTACTATTGTAAATCAGATCTTATAATTATTCAGATCCCTGGAACCTGACTTCAGTTAGGGCAAAGTGCTCAGGTACCACAGTGACAGGTGTAGTATAAAAACTAGAATAGAATAGAATAGAATAGGTGCTTGTATGAAGATGTAACAGCCATTAACACATATTTTCCACAGATATAAACTGACATTGTGGGTGATGCTGGCGTTCCAAGAAATAATATTTCGAAATGATAAGGCATGTCATAAGTTGAAGTTTAGCAAGTTGTCTATGTTAAAGAACAGTCCTGTTAATTTTTTGCTCCTTTCAGAGCACAATAAAAATACTCATTGTTTGCCAAATGGAAAAGAACAAATATTTCATTTCCCAGTTTCTAAAATGCTGTTACTAGTAATACAAAAATAAAATAATATAAAAAAGCAAGTACAGTATAAAATATGGTTTTATATTGTCTGTTTCAAGTGTACCTTTAAGTTTGACTGGACTGATCTTGAGCACTCTGCCCCAAATTAGATGATGATTTTTTTGTTGTCCTTGCCAGCTGGGGGTCTTGTGCTGAACCACAGTGGAATCTGCTATCCAGTATTTGGACTTGTAAATCCATGTTGCATATTACTACAGATGAGTCTTGAACAGAAAGGGGAACACTTCCTCTACTATGATGTCAATTGCCTCCGCTAGAAGTCACCCTGTGCCTCTCTCAGATCACTGTTATTTCTGCTGCACAGATGCAGGATCGGGGTCCAGAACTTCCCAAATCTATATAGGTGCCCCTCAAAATGGTCTGCTTTGGGAAAGCGAGAGTGAATTCTACTGCCAATAGCCAGACTGTTTAGGCAGCTGCATGGTGATCAGAACTGGCTGACAGCTTCAGGTGCCTCCTAAATGAATTAACGTTGCCCTTTTAAGAAGAATCTACTGGATCCCCCTGTCCAGCTCAGCACTGGGGTTTCATTGCCCTTTTAAGAAGATTCTCTTTACCCCTTGGACACCAGAAGGTTGTTTCCTTTCCCAGTAGCCTGTCTAGGATTTATAAGGGGGAAGGATGGAAAGAAGAGTTGGGGTGGGGGTGGCTTGCTATGCAAATTATTAGCTGAGCTTTCCGGTCAAAACAAGTCAATTTTTGCAAAGAATTTTGAAAAAAACAATTTTAAGAGTTTTCAAAACTTTTAACACTTTTCAGTTAAAAAAATTAAATATTTTGTAACCTTAATTCTCTTAAATTATTTTTCCAGAAAGGTAATCTCACATGGGTGCTAATTTCTTCATGGCCTGCCAGGGCACCACTAGTTTCTCTAGCTCCCTCTATACCAGTGGTTCTCAACCTGTGGTCTGCAAACCCCTGGAGGTCCACAGACTATGTCTAAGTTTTCCAAAGGGTTTCCCTTCTCCATTTAAAATTGTTTAGGTGTCGGCAAATGAAAAAAGGTTGAGAATCACTGCTCTATACCATTTCATGTCATTTTCATCCCTTTCACAGTTGCAATATCTGTAGCCATTGCACCTACAGTGGCAACACATCCGAAGGAGGGAAGATTTCAGGGGGCGTTACTCTTAATTGACTGAGAAAATCCCTCCCAACAAAAACTCAGATTAGGCAAATCTGTACTTTGTTTTGTTTTGCTTAAAGCCATCTAAGGTCTCAGCGGTCTTTGGAGGACCTTATGCAACTGAGTTTGACTTTACAAGAGTTTAAATGTGACAGGTTGATCGTTGATCCAAAGCCTATTGGAGTCAATGGGAAGCCTCACTGAGGGCAGCATGGCTCTGGAGATAGAGCATTGGCTGGGCCTGCATGAGGAATGGGCTTTATTTCTGAGTCTACCCAGGGCCGGCTCCAGGCACCAGCCTGGCAAGCAGGTGCTTGGGGCGACCGCTCTGGAGAGGGGCGGCACGTCCAGCTATTCGGCGGCAATTTGGCGGACGGTCCCTCACTCCCGCTCGGAGCGAAGGACCTCCCGCCGAATTGCCACCGCAGATTGCGATCGCGGCTTTTTTTTTTTTTTGGCTGCTTGGGGTGGCCAAAACCCTGGAGCCGGCCCTGGGTCTACCACTGGCTTGCAGGATGACCTTAAGCAAGTCACTTCCTCTCTCTATGCATCCGTTTTCTCATATGAAATTAGGATAATCACACTGATCTCCAGGGCTTAAATTCTCATAGAGTATTTCCTGGAGGAGCCGGGCTGGGGCTTCTGCCCCACGGATTTGAAAATATTTACCTGGGCTCTGCTCCGGACAGCTCCTGCTGAATTTAAGTCCTGCTGATCTCCTTTAGAGCTCTTTGGGATGTAGGGATAATAAGCTCTATATAAGAGTTTTATTCGGTGTCAGCCCCCAGTAGAAGGGTGCCATAATTGCCTCTCACCAAATTCCCATGACTGCCAGGTTAGCTGCAATTTCCTCTAGCATTTGCTGGGATTGCAAGCTGGGCCACACCCCCATTGCCATTGAGGCACTATAAAGTCATCCATCCCCTGACAAGGAAACCCATGTGGTAGGTATTTCTCACCTCTGCCTCCCTTCTCCAGTGCTGGACAGCTGTGGTCTGCTTCTTCCCCCCTGCCTCCCATCTAGTTCTATATCTCTGTGGTGTTGCACTGCCCTGGGCAAAGCTTGGTAGGTTGGGGTGGGTGATGACACGTGTTATAAATATGAGCGTGAGGACACTCTGTGCCAGCAGGGCTTAGCTGACACGGTGCTGAACCCGGCGACTCCCGCCTGCACAGCCGCCTCAGCCCTGCTCGTCCTGCCAGCTGATATTATCCCGGTCAGGCGCCATTCCCGGGCCGTGCTGACAGTCGCAGGGAAGCGCTGCGGGCCTACTGCGCAGAGCGGGACATGGCCAGCACCAGCCAGCCACGTGGGTAGGGCCGCGCGCCGCCGCGGGTCTGTGCGGGGCCCGGAGCAGCGTGGCACGTGGCGCTGTTGACAGATCAGTGCCCATTGGTGGATTCGGGGCGGGCGGGGCCGAGACAGCGGTCTGCCCTGCTCGGCGCTAGCAGGTGGCTGCCCGGGCGGGCGGGCATTGCCCCTTTAAGGACACTCCCTCCTCCCTGTTGCCCCTTTAAGAGCCGCCCGTCGCTACTCCTCCCCCTCCCGCGCGTGTTCCGCGCTGCGAAGCGACCACCGGCACCACTGCCAGGAGACACGGAGCGCGCGGGCCCCGGAGCGGCGCGAAGCGCGGGGATCTCGGCGGAGACGGCGCCTCCTGCCCCGGCGGCCGCTTGGGTCGCAGCCGCCGGGCCCCGCATCCAGGCGGGCAGCCGCGGGGCCGCCAGCCCCTCCCCCGCGCCGGGGCCCCCGGCATGTCCTGAGCGGGGCCGGCTCGGCGCGGAGCCCCCACCACGGAGGGGGCGGTGGAGCAGCGGGCCAAGGGCCGGGCCCCCATGAAGGAGAAGGAGCCGCCGGCGGAGCGGGGCAAGCCCGCCACCTACACCGGGGACAAGAAGGCGCGGATGGCGGCCAAGACCAACAAGAAGTGGGTGCGCCTGGCCACGGTGCTGGCCTACGTGCTCTCCGTCTCGCTGGCTGCCATCGTGCTCGCCGTCTACTACAGCCTCATCTGGCAGCCGGTGCGCCAGCCGACAGGGCCCAGCACCCCCGGCCGGACGACGCACGGGCCCCACACGGAGCGGCACGGGGGAGCCAGCCCCACGGAGCCGCTTACGCGGCCGGGTTCCGGCCAAGGGGCGGCCGGGACTGAGCGCGCTGCCACCTCGACAACGTCGCCGCCGAGGAGCGAGCCCGGCCCAGCCCCCGACCCCACGGTGCTGCAGCGGGTGCATCGGAGCCACTGATCGCGGGGAAGCGGGGGCCGAGCTCGGGACATGGCGCAGCCCAGAGACCCCACCCGGACAGGGGCACGGCGGCTCCCTCGGCAAGCTACTGCCCTCCACCGACCCTGACTCGGCTTCGCCTCCGCCCGGAGGCCACGGGACCATCGCCCCTCGCTCCGGCGTCTGCTCCTTGCGGACGGTGGCGCGGACACGCAGCTAGATGCTCTGTTTGCCCGTCCATCGGTTTGCGCTGGACTCGGGCAGAGCGAATTGTAATTATTAGTTTTAATACGGTGTAAACGGTACTGGGAAGCCACAGAGAGTGGAGCTCAGGTATGTCAGCCTAGCTGAAATGTACCCAGATGCATTTCGTTTATATCTGTGTATGTATTTGTAGATATATACACTCAGACGAGAACTGTATAGAAGTGAGAGATATGCTATGTAAACTACACAATGAGCACACCCTGACTGGTTTTAAAGGGCTATCGCAGGAAACCAAGCTCGAAAGTTGCAATGATCCTGGTGGCTAAAGGATGCCTAAAGCCATACAGACCCCGTCAGAAGAGTGCATGTGACCCCCAGCTTTACTAAGTTTCTTTTAGTAAAGAAAACTCCATGCTGTGTTGGATTTCTAGGCTGGGGGAGGGAAAGAATGCAGCATATTCTCTTATTTGCTATGCTCATCAAGAGTGATTCCAGAGGGCTGTCTTCTTCTGATTAGCATCTCCAGATCTATGGTTTTGGGTCTCCTTGTATGCTTCAGTAGGGCCTGGTTTAGATTAGGGGACAGGGTGGGTTTTTTCATTCCGGCTAGATTACTTCAATTGAAAACCCTATTTAACACAAATGTACTAATAAGTGAATATGTTTAAATCTACTTTTTGATCTGGTTTACAAAAAAAATGAATTGTACAGCGGTGTCTGCATTTGAGTTAAATACGGTTGTCAATCAGTTTCCTAGCTTGGTTTTTTTATAGCACCTTTTCCCTTAATTTAGGCATGGCTTAGGGAACTTTAACTCTCAAGGCAAACATGAGTGGTAGGCATGGAAAGAGAACACTTCTACCAATAGACTCTTAGCTAGTATTTTTAGTCTTTCCTTCAAGAGAATTCTGTGGCTTAATATTCCCCATCACCAGGGTCAGCTTTTCCCTTTGACTCTCTGTTGATGCTCTGTTCTTCTATTTATGCCACTCTGTTACCTGTGAAATGATACTGGTGTTCAAATTTTTCACCACTTATAGGATCAACTGAGAGCAGAATATGAATTTAGAGGCTGTGTTCCATTGTTTTGGAAAAATAGCTTTGTTTACTAATGAACAAACTTATTTAAAACATGTGAAAGGTAAATTGACTTGTTTACTATATTAAAATATTTTTTGCATATTAAAGTCTCTCTCCAATATGGCATTTTGTTTTTTTGGGGGGAGGGGGAATATTGGGAGGAACATAAGTGAAAACTACATATGTGCTACTTTGGCTGGGGATGGTGAAATCGCCACTGATTTGGGAGCTTAACTCCCTGTATGCAGTGATGAGAGATGAGTTTCCATTTGAGAACTTGCTACATAAGGCAGCTGAAATGCTGTGTCAGTGGAAGCCCCAGGGCCTGTTCCCTTGCCAGCTTGAAACTAACCAAGCTTACAGGCCAGTAATTGCAGTGTAGCCTCATCTTATGGCCAAACAGCAGAACTTTCAAAGTTGATTGATGTAGTCTGGTGACAACTAACCTGTGATGGGCCAGGCATGTTGAGTAGACTTTCTTTAGACCTCTCTTGGTGTGTCAGTAACTCCGTGGGGCCATTTTGAGAAACTCTGAAATGCCTAGGTTTAGCAAATAGCAAAAAGAACTTGAAACTTAGTGCTTACTAGTCTCTTATTAACAAGTTGTAAATTTAAATCTGATTGCTCATGAGCCTTCCAAACGCAGACGAGCAAATGTATGACATTTTGTAGTGTCCTGAACTGTCAGCTCGTCACCTTGCAAACAAAAGAACTTGACAAACCATTTAAATGTTAGGCTGTGGAGCCACTAAGCTCTTGTGAAGCTGCCACTGGAACGGAGTTTTCAGCTGCTAAGTTTAAAGATGTAAATGTGCTCTGATATTGTCTATATAATTCTGCCATGTAAACTATATCTGTATTCAAAAGACCTGTATATTTAGGAAAAAAATTAAGGGGAACAAAAATACATTGAGATTTCTGCCTAAACTTGTATGCTTTAGACTGATCTTCTCAAACTTTTTGAGAACATGAGTGAAGATTAGGAATAGAGGAAAGAGACTTAACTAACATAGTGAAGGAGATTGACTTTCCTTGTGGTCCATGCGGGGTAGGTGAAAATGGGTGGGAAAGGGCATTGTATTTAACTTACCTCTGGACCGGGGAGAGATGGGAATGCTTGTGCCTTGAATGGCACTTGACAGAAGAGGGAGAGTATAATGGTTTTTGGTGGGGAGGAGACCAGGCACAGAGGTTAAACTTGCCTGTGGTTGGTAAGCATCTGGGAATAGAACTCCATAATTATCCTCAGAGCAATGCTATCACAATATGCCTGACCCTGTGAATGGACAATTAAACTAGCAAAGAACAATTATTTCTAATTTTGTATGGGCTGTGGGGATGAGGAGATGGGGTAGCAGAGGGTCTGGCAGCAACACTTTAGACAAACCGCTCTGAGATGTGGCTTTTAGTTCCGATTGCATTGGTTCCACAGTTCGGCTGTTTTCATTTGCTGGACCACTTGACCTATAACTGGACATGAGGATTGTATTATCCATCCTGCAGGCAAACCCAGAGATGTATGCTCCAAATCCTGGGGAGGGAGACACTTGTAATTCTTCCCAGTTATAGTTCTCACTGACCAGGGGTGGCCTCTATTAGAAATTACAGCTCTCCATAGGGTTGGGAATGATGATTATTTGAAATGCTGCCTGTGTGCTAGTTTGATCTGGGATTTGTCTTCAGTATTCTAAGGGAGATGGGTGTGGAAGAGAAAAAACAGACTCATTCCTTGGTGCCAGTAGAGTTTAGACTGTTCCTGGGATTTGTCACTAAAAGCGGGCCAGTTTGGCAAGGCTGGTGTTAGGAAATTTGGTTTTTAATTTATAAAAAAAACTCCAGAGGCAAAAAACAAGGACTAGATGGACCTCTACATAGATCTGAACTTCACTAATAGGGCATGTCTGGCTGCTGCTCTGATCAGAAATTGTGGTGGAGGTCTCACGTGAAACAAGGAATGTATTTGGGAGATACATACACTTAGTATTTTCCTCTTTAAAAACAATTGCTCTCTGAAGATTAATAAAGCACTGTTCAGTATAGCAGCCCATTTAATTCAATTCACTTCCCCTCCTTTGTGGCCACTTTCCAACCTGTCCTGTTACTGTGGAGAGATGCCCTGTACTCAATGTTGACAACTTAAAGCTTTTCATCTGTTCAGAGGCATTTATGTGAAAGTGTCTCGAGTATAGTACAGTAGTAATTTGACATGGTAAACTCCATCTGCTCTATGAAAATTGACCCATTGCTGACAACTCAGCTCCCCTGAACTGGTGCTGAATATGGTTGAATTGCTATCGTAATAAATAGGACAAAACCATCTTCAGCATCCTTGCATGAAGTGTGAATGCAGTTTGTTCTTGTACAAAGAGTTTGTTCCAGTGATGTCCTGCTTGCTGATGGAATAAGGCTGAGGCAAAGCAGAGACCTTTATCTCTGAAGCTGTTACAAATGGTTATTGGAGCATTCCATTAACTTTACTGCTATGCTACCAAATGTACAAAGAGAAAATGTGGCGTTTAAAGCTTCCAAAGCAGCTGCTCAGATTCAGCCTTCTCATAGAAGATTTCCAAGAGACTGGTCATGATTGTCATGGCAATTTTAGTAGCTTTAATACATTCATTTGGCTTTTTAAAAAGCCTTATAGATGTTTGAAAAATCTTCAGACAGGAGCAAGGACTCCAGATACCAGATTTAGAAGTTATCAGGTGGTATGCAGGATGCAATGGCTTCTTCATCTGGGAATGCAATGCAATGCAGGAATGAGCAAGTTCGTAAGTCTGTCTGTCCTCGTACTGCTTTTGGTGTCTGAGAGTTTAAGAAATAAGGTATTTTCTTACTAGGTACACTTAAGAATACTTATAATAACTGAAATGACTTGTCATAATTGGTTTCTATGTGCACTAACATTTTCATCTGGAATTTTATGGATTTCTTAGGAAATGGGCTTACTGCACAAGGTGTAAAAGCTGGATTGCTAATATATTGGGTCATGAATCTCTGGATTTATAGCCATGCTGTGCTGTCTTTGGGCTGAAGCTGAGTCATCTGTGTCTAGAATCTCATTTTAATTCCTTAACTACTTGGCATATGCACTAGCTTGCTCAATTTGACAGATTTTTATTTTATTTTTTAAATCCATGCTACATTGCCAAATGATGATCTGCACAGCACTGACTCTGGCCCATTATAATGCATTTCAACCTTTCCCTTCCCAGCCATTAAATAAAGGGGAGGGGGGGGGGGAAATCAGTTGCGCAAATTAGAAAAGAACCATGCTGGTTAAAGGAACACTAGCAGGTCAGATTTGACCTCAGACTTGTTTACATCTGAGGGGGAAAAATATTACAAATCCTAAATTCCTGAGAAATAGTTCCTTTAAATTTTTTTTAGAAAGTCCAATGGAATCAGTTTCTTTAAATAGACATTTCTGTGCACTATTTCCAGCCCAAACACTGAAGTGGTATTATAGCAGAGCACCATCTTTGCTGTAAAGGTTAAGGCCAGCTTTCTGTTTAAATTCTAATGTATGCAAATCCAAGAGTGGAAGTGAGTAGTCTTATCTTCATTGCCCAAACTGAATTTCAAAGAGTAAACATTTCACCCATTCTGCTAAGTTAAATATTAAAATGCTTTGTTTTAATAATCAAATGTGGTATAGCTAACAATCTTCCCAAACAGCCTTTTACCTTGCAGTGTCCCCTTTTAAAAATGTGGTTCTAAGAATGGGACTGCTATATCTTCTGACAAATCCTGTTGTGATTTTTAATTTATTGAGTGTTGGTTACTGACACATTCAACATGGTAGTGTTAAAAACCGCTCAGGAGAGGAAACTAAACAATTTTCTGTGTCAAAAGTTACAGCACGTTCTTATCATACGTTGGCTTGATTTTTGTCTCAAACTAGGAGATGCTTAGATAATCCCACCGAGTTGCAGTCTTGCCCCAGTTGAGAACAAGATGACTGCAGTGGTGTCATGTCCAGTGTGCAGAAGAAGAAGGTATGCTTATTCAGAAGGTATATAGAGCTGAGGTTGAAGAAAGCAGAGCATGAGGCCAACGCTGAATGAGGTTGTAAGATGCAATTTTGAGGCATCTAAAAAGCCTAAATCCACCCTTACGGATGCTTGCTGCAGGAAGAAGACTTGCAAGGGACCATTCAAGATGAAAGTCCATTCTGTGCACTACCATAGCTACAGCATAGCCATCTGACTTTGCTGCTGTTGGTTACTGATGGGCCTGCAATACTAATACAGCTGTAGAGATTAAAGCTTTATTTTAGTCTTCCTCTTGTTTTAAGAACCTAACTATCAACTTTGTTCTGATCAAAGAATGTTTTATTGCTGTTTGGAACAGAGAACATTTTTTTTTTTTTATTGTATCAAGTCTAGCTTGATGCTGAAAGATGCATTTATAAAGAGTAAATTTGATATGGTGACTGCTGAGGGAGAATAAACAAATACAGGGCTGGCTCAAGCTTTTTTGCCACCCCAAGCAGCGAAGCAGGGGTGTGGGGGGGGGGGAGATAAAGCTGCAATCGGTGGCACTTCAGCAGCAGCTCTACCGCGCCACTTCATTCTTTGGTGGCAATTGGGCGGCGGGTCCCTCAGTCCCTCTCAGAGTGAAGGAGTCGCCGCCGAAGACCCAGACCTGCTGCCCCTTTCCATTGGCCGCCCCAAACACCTGCTTCCTTCGCTGGTGCCTGGAGCTGGCCCTGAACAAATACCAAGTTGCCTCTAAATTGCTCTTCTAGACCATATTAACACTTTTGTTTTCAGAGACAACATCAGGCCACGTTGCTTTAGCCCTTAATTCTGACTATATTGTGTTTTGTGGACTAGAGCTGCGATCCTTTTCTACTATGTGAGAGAATTCTGAAAGAGGAATCACTTACTACTACTACTACTACTACTACTACTACTACTCATGGTTCTCTTCCAGGGAAAGAAATGGAGCCACCGAGACACAACTCTGTCAATGCCTGACATGGCCTACAGCCTGGTCAGCTGTATCAAAAGCAGCTGGCAAAACTAAAATAATCAACATGGTCACTTGGTGAAATTCATAGGCGAGTACAAGCCTTCACATCAGAGATGGAGGGAGTCCCACATCAGAATATCCCATAACCTGGTGGCTAGAGCACTCACCTGAGAGGTGGCAGACCCCAGTTCAAATTCCTTCTTCCCCTCAGGTGGAGCGGGGACACTCAAATGGGGTGTCTCCCACATCGCTGGGAAGTATCCTGACCAGTGGGCTAAAAGTTATGAGCTGTGGTGGTTGCTGCTCCTCACCTATAGGGGCCAGTTTTAGTGGGTGAGGTTTGGACACTCCTAGTGGAGTTAGGCACCTACTGCAGTTGGCAACAGCAGAGTGGGAGTCAGGGTTGTGAATCTCAGTGGGGCCTGATTCTGGGATTTAGGTGCCTAAAGTGTCAGGCACCTGAATCCTTTTTTGAATCTAACCTCACCTGCTTATTACAATAACCTTGTGTAACGGCTGTAGAAATCCCTATTTGAAGTCGATGATGGGTTTGTATGCAGTAACAGTGTGAGGGGAGTTATCTCTATAGGTGAATTGTTTAACCCATCATTGTTCAGAGTCTGTTAAGGAAGACTATTGGCAGCTTTTTAAACAGTACAATATTTCCATACTCCGCACTAGCTCTGTGCTTGTAATTAGCTGTACATAGCTCCCCTACCGTATAAAACACTGTTAGCTCTTACATTTTGTACTTTAAACATAAAAATGTTTTTCATTGACTGGCATTTTTGGTTCAGGCTCATAAACCAATTACAGCCAGTTTGTCCAGGGCAGAGAACTGGTGTGGAAAATCAGTAATGCTCCTTTTTACTATGAAATACTTCCCCTTTTAAATAATACTCCGCATGTGTCTGGGGCATTGTTCTAACTAACCTATTTCAGAGGTATACTGCATGGCTATTAACTTCATTACAGCTGGGCCTACTGAGCTTGAGCTGCTGTCTAGCATTCTCATTTGTTTCCCCTGCGCTAACGGAGCAGAAAGGGTTTAGAACGACCACCTGACCATTCCAGTTGAGCTGTGTTTGGGGGTGTCTTTCTCTATGGACTGTTTCACCATTGCCACCCCTAGTTTTCTTTGTCAGCAGATCTTGGAGGCAAGACTTCAGTCCACCGAAACCTGAGATCATTTTCAGTACTGGTTTTAACTGCAGTGCTTAGCTCACCAGGCTGGTGCTAAATCTTTCAAATTGTGGAAATAACTATCCACAAACAAGCTGTTCTCTTGGTAGCAAGACTGTACTCCATCTGAAAGAGTCCTTGCTGCTTTCCTTCTAACTGGAAGTCCCAAAGTCCAATGTGAAGGAATCACAGGACTGTCAGCCAGTGTTGAGAGAAAACAAATACCTCTGTAAGCAGCTGACTTAGACTGACTGACTGCCCTTCACAGGCTTCTATTGTATTTATGCCCAAATAAATTTGTTAGTCTCTAAGGTGCCACAAGTACTCCTGTTCTTTTTGCTGATACAGATTAACATGGCTACCACTCTGAAATCTATTATATTTGTGCTACTATTCTTGCAAACAGAAATGAATGGCCGTTGTCATCAGCCTGTAAAGGATCCAGCCTCAGTTTACTAAGTAGATATTAGGCTAGGTAATCCCTGCAAACTTCCCATAGGCCAGGTTAGCTAAGTCAGAGCACAGAGGAGTGTGATGGCTTGTATATTTCCTTAAAATATGTAAGTTCTGTTTTTAAATAGAGCCTTGACTTGCAAGGTTCAGCAGGGTAGAACTTGTAGACATGGACCAAATTCTTCATAGTGATTAACAGTGAGGTTGATGAGTCTGTTAAATGGGATGGCGTTAACATTCCTACTAAGAGTAGGGTGGATTTGGGAAGACTAAGGTGGAGGACAAGAAATAAAATTCATATTACGACTCCCTTTTAAAGACCTTTCCAGCCATCCTCAAGAGAGAGAAATGATAACAAATTGGAGCTTTCTTTTCCTCCTTACAACTTTTATTTAACAAAAATAATCCTTACACTTCAATTTTTCAATCACCTCAACCTTCCCCTATATATAACCCTTGCACAGAAGAAATAAATAGTAGTCATGATTCTCCAACAATTGGAACAAACTGTTTTCAAACAGAATGAACAGCCTGTCCTTAATTAAGGAAACTTAACATTAATAGCATGGACCATCTGTACTGTACCTTCCATGAAGTCCATAATCATGTTCCTCCTTATGCACTACTTATTACATGAGCTTGTGGGGAAGAGGGGGAATTAAGCAGCAGTTTTTCCTGATGCTGAATTTAGCCTAGCACAAGATGCTAAGTGTACCGCAATTGAAATTGAACTCCTCTCTTTAGCTGTAGACCTGAGGTCATGTGGCAGTGAAACATTTTGCATACTACCCCATCCATGGTGCCTTAATTCTGACTTGGAGGAACAACCTCCAGGACAAAGGGAATATTTTGGTTGTGAACCTTTTGGGAATTGGACTGAGATTACCATCTCCTTTTTACATAGGCTACCAAACTATAAAGCTATATACTGCTAATTACTTTAAAATTCCAATCTGGTTCAGAGTGAGGTCAGGGTGCTAGATATAAATGAGTTTGTAACTAATTACTGGTCCCCTGATCCAGCTGCTCCTCCAACCCAGTATCTTATGGGATGTGGAAATTCACCCTTTAATGAGCTAGAAGAACTTCCAGGCTTGAAGCAGTTTTATAACCCACTTCATCTGTAACTTTAGCTCTAAACCGCAGGAAAATTGTTTCTAATAGCACGCTATAATCATGTTTTATCTTCTGCTGCTTCTCTTGCTAACAGCCTCAGGGTGGGTCATTGAACTATCACAAATTTGGTATACACAAGAGATTGCCTAACTCTGTCCTCTTGAGTGAAAGCCAGCTGAATTCATTGGCTCTGAATTACGGGGAAAACCAGAACATCTCTTTGTGCGAATATTAGTTTATTAAAACAGCATTCCAGTGCACTCATGCCAACCTCCTCAGTAAAGCAGTCTGCCATTTAGGTTAGCAACACTTCTTGAGGGGAAACTAAATAAATCTCCATGCCCACAGGCACACATCCACACACACGTTCACATCTCCCTTCAATGGAGAGGATGAAACTGCTTCACGTCTCAGGCCAGGTTTGAAAATGAGGACAGTCCCCCTTCTCTGTAAGTCAGCAGCTGAAAATATGTAATGTTATCTCTCAAGCCTACTTCCCATCTTTTCTTTAATTGGATGACATTTTTGAGCCAGGTCCTTGATGTAAATTAGCATGTTTCCATTGAAATCAATGAAGCTATTCTGATTTACCCTAGTAAAGGATTAGTCAAGTCCTTATGAAAGGTGTCTCGTCGTAAGGCTAAAACAAAAGAACCCAATGTGGCAGATTCCTGGGAAGTCACTACTGTACCACCTTATGCAAGCAGAAGGCTTTGGAAGGTTTCGAGAGCAGAGGGCATGGTTAGGAAAGTGAAAGGATCTCAGAGGAAACCTGGATGTTCAACTCTAACTAGCCCAGAAGTCTTTCCACAAATATCCTCACATGTGCTAGCAAATTCTTGGTGGGTTGGGTAGAGAAGGAGGATTACCATGTTTGAACACCCCTCCTAACCCGGCCTGGTGCATGTGATTTTAGGTGCCATTAGCTCACTTGACCAAGTAGGTGCCAGTTGCTACTGGGTTTTAAGAAGTGGACCTGATGCTTTGCCAGGATCCCTTCAAGTGGCACTCATATCCATTCAATCCAGTATCCTACTCAGGAAAGCCTAATCTCCACAGAGTTAATGTGCTGCCTGCCACTTGTGCCTGCTAAATCCAAAAGGAGGAAATGGTGACCTCCTTAATAACATAGTAGCACCAATGAGTCGTTCTGAGCCTTTCAAAATTATTCATGAACCACAGTGTAACTCCTTAACACTCTACCTCCTCAATGCCCTGTTGTCTACAGGATGACCGTACGACAGTACATCCTTGCATCCCTGCCAACTCTTCAGCCATTTTGAGGCTCTAGTATAATCCGCCTTACCCAACAACCTTCAATTTCTCAACCACCTACAAAACTACACTTTAACACCTCCCCAAAAAACCCATCTCTTCTGTCACCATTTCTCATGAGGAGACAGGAACCCCCACCCTAATACCTTCTAATCTGGCAGTTGCCCATTAACTACAAAGCTACAAGATAAGCGCTCCCCATAAACCCTTAAACACTTCTATCACCCTTTCCTGGAGGGTGCAGTATCCTGTCAGCCCTTAAGCAGGAGGGAGGCGCTGAAAACCAAACCTCAGTTTTAAATAGAATTGGTTATTAAATAAAATAAAGTGCATACAGTATATAAATCATGGCTTGCCACACACTCACAATGTAAGAAAAACAAATACAAAATAAAAGTGACAGTGTTTCATCTTCTCTCCCCTCTGGCAATTTGATTTGTAGGTTTCTCTGTCATTTGGCACAGAGACAGGTACTGAGAGGTGATGCCAAA